TTCAGTGCGTCTAACGAAAACCATTCCAAATATTCCAATTTCAAACTTTATGCAACAATTAATAAAATTCCTCACAATTTCACCAAAATTTCAAACTTTGGAATCAGAATTTTGATAAAAATGTTTGGTATGCAATTTTATGGTCCTTTAAATTTTAGTATAATAAACAGTGGCGCGCATTTTTATACAAAGTTCGGTTTTATATGAAAGAAAATGCGTGACACTGATAGCAAAAAAACTGTCAAAAATCAACGAGATTCTTCAGCAATTTGAAACCTGTCTTTTATTATATTATTTATTATTTAAATAAATGAATTCATATTACCTTCAAACGTAATTTTTAATGCTTTTTTGCTGCATTCAAACTAAAAAAATTTATCCACACTATCGAGACTATCGACGGCAGCGCACTATCGAGACTATCGATGGCAGCGCACTATCGGCACTATCGATAGTGACCCAAAAAACTATCATCAACTATCGAAGGTGTCCACTATCGATAGTTTGCCACCACTATGCCAAGGCAAGGGCAAGAAGGCAAAAATTTGTCTTTTTACAGGGTTAAGTGTAACATCAAACACATTTTGCACCGGGGAAGGGCAACATTTGTTGGAAGAAACGAAATCACCAATAGAGAAATTAAAAAAGGTTTTAACGATTAAAATTGTGTTTTAGAGTAATCACCATTTTAACTCTTTCATAGTCAACTTAAAATGCACTTTATGGCTCGGTCCCCACTCCGAGCGATTCCAAACAATATCTTCTTAATTTTAATTATTTGTATAATATAAACATTATTTTATTTTCTTTTATTAAATTTTATTTGATTACCTTTTTTGTTTAAGCTATTTCACATAATTGTTTCAAATTAATACATTTTTTTGGAGCTTAATTTTAATTGAAAATAATTTTTAAAACAACAAAAGTGTTTCCAGTCAGTGCGATTCGAACCCACGACTTCTCCACGTGCTAAATCCGCAATCCTGCAGCGGACACAAGGTGAACTAATTAAAGTACAGTGAAACCCGCTTAACTACCCCCATACCCCCCGCGCTTAAGTACCTAACCCTCTTAAGTAACCAACATTTTTGGACACCGTGAATTTTTTAATATAATCTGAAGAAAATCCCTCTCTTAAGTACCTCCCCGCTTATTTACCCAACCCGCCTAAGTACCTAAATTTTTCGTGCCCAATTTACAATTTTACTTATAATTTTCCCCTTTTAAGTGCTCTTTTAAAATTCCTTAAAATATCTACGTATATTGAAATTCAGTAGCAGCGCTGCACACCTTCGGTAAAAAAAAATCTAAAAAATAAACGGTAGCTTTTAGCCACTTGAAACTTGCACATTATTACACTAAACTTGAATGGGCTATAAAACTGTATACTCAAAAAACACTTCTAGTACAAAAAGTTTGAAATTATTATGAATTTTTTTTAAGTATTCTACAAAATCTTAAGCTTATGTTTATATGGTATTTGTTAGGGAATTAACCGCATTTTAATTGATTGAAAAATGTTAAAAATTAATAAATAAACATAAGTGGCAAACAATACTAATTTGAATTTGGTACAAAATGATATCGAGCCCTAACCGCCAAAATAACGTAAGCGACATTTTTTCAAAATTTTCTTTTTGATGCAGAAATGCATCTAGATGATCTAGGAATATTTCTGCACCAAAAACAAAATTTTGAAAAAAATGTCGCTTACTTTATTTTGGCGGTTAGGGCTCGATATGTCCAACTTTGACTTTTTAAACAGTTTAATTCTTGTAAAAATGGCATACCATTGCACTAAATATTTTTTTTAATCAAGTTTTTCTTTACATGTTTACGTGTTTAAATAATGGTACGATTTTGATTTTAAACTATGTATGCTTCATTAAATGTCGTTATTCAAGTATTTATGTAAGTTAACAAGAAGATGTAACTACATCACTAATTATGTCCGCTTAAGTACCCGAATCGAGGTACTTAAGCGGGTTCTTTTAAGTACTCAACCCGCCTAAGTACCTCAAAAAGCTGAAATTTTTCGTGAGTTACTTAAGCGGGTTTTACTGTACTCATATTTCTTTATATTGCCGAGTAAATTTTTTCTCTTCATACGGATAGCTCTGTTCTCTCTCATCTTAACAAAAAGCTGTTTCTGAGTTGTGTATAATTGACACAAGTTAAAATTCTATTCTAAACTTAAAAATTTATTTTAACACTAATGAGTTTTAACTTACGACTATGATTATGGGCCATAATCAAAATTGTGTATTCCATTAAAGGTAAAGACTTGCAAACCCGTCTGTTTAGAATAATTTGTGAAGACAGGTTCGCTTCGTCACAATCTCCTTTATCATACAGAGGTGAGGTGGCTGTCAAAAGGAAAGATACTGTTGACGAGAATTCTAGGACTGAAATCTGAATTGTAAATGTTCGTACAAAAGGCTGAATCCGAGTATGCTAGTTATTTTTGTGATCTTCTTTGACTCTTGAAATTAATATTTTTTGCTGATCTTTTTAGCCACCTAAATAATTTAAACAAAAACCTCCAAGGAAAAGACGAAAATATTTTAACATGAAAGGATAAAATCAAAGTATTACACGCAAAACTTCATGTGTGATCAACTTCTCTGCAAAAAAAATATATCGTCGTTTAAAGTACAAAACCGCGTATCGTCATTCTGCAAAGCCGCGTAACTGACATTTGCTGCCAAAAATTGGATTTGCTCACACAAGCTCCTGGCACAATCCTTATCCAATCGTCCTGATATATACTAGCCAGAAATGCGATTGCTTTATAAAAAAAGAGAACCATTTTCAAATATGAGTGTTTTTACTCTATAGAAAATAATTTTTGCAACCTCACATATGCGGTTTTTCATTTTGTTGATACGACGATATTTGAGTATTTTCTTAGAATTCAGAAGATTGTTGAAGATAGTGGCGTAGACCAATCTCTTGCAGTAGGTTCCCACATTCCTTGCCTGCTACAGACATTGCATAATTTGGAAGAGAAACTATTAGCTTACTTTCCAGACCTGGACTCCAAAGCTGACAATGGGATAGGTCAATAGAACTCGCTAATCTAAACTCGAAGATAAAGAAAAATCTTATAAATTTAGCTGCTGACAGAATGTTAACAAAAAAAAAAAAAAAAACAACGGAAAACAAGAATATCCAGACCTTACCTATGTGAACTGACCTTCTCTTCAATGGTGGACATTAAAACTAAAAAGCAACATAAGCTTCAGGTGCAAATTGATTTGATTGATAATATCTCAAAAATGGAACCGTGCTTTGACAATTTTTTTTATAAACAAGCCCATCCTTTTCACTGACATTGCATTTTCATGAGCATGAAATAGTATTACAACTTTGGTTCGATGTTTGTACCAGAATAAGACGATATAGACCCATTAAAATGTATACTTATATGATATGTCTGTGAAGTTGGCAAAAAAGGCAAAAAAACGCTGTCCTGAGTCGCTTTTCAATAGTTCTAGAGTTCTTGAAAAGGAAAAAAAGTTCTGGATATTTTGACAAAAAAAATGCCTTGAAAATTATGTATGCCAGATTCACGCATCATACGACATGTCGCAAAAAGGCAAATAAAAAATTGTTCTGAGCAGCTTTTCAATAGTTCTAGAGTTCCTGAAAAGGAAAAAAAAGTTCTGCAAAATTACCCCGAAAAAACACGTTTTTCGAAAAAGTCGAAAATGTTAAAATTTTGAAAAAATAAAAATTAAACCTGTTCTGAGTAGCTTTTCAATAGTTCTAGACTTCCTGAAAAGGAAAAAAAGTTCTGCAAAACTACGCCGAAAAAACACGTTTTTCGAAAAAGTCGAAAAAGTAAGTTAAAAAAATAATAATAATTAAATCTGTTTTGAGTAGCTTTTCAATAGTTCTAGAGTTCCTGAGAAGGAGAAAGAAAGTTCTGGAAAATTACGCCGAAAAACATTTATTTCGAAAAAAACAAAAAAATTAAGTTTTTGAAAAAAAAATTAAATCTGTTCTAAGTAGCTTTTCAATAGCTCTAGGGTTCCTGAGAAGGAGAAAGAAAGTTCTGCAAAATTGCGCCAAAAAACACGTTTTTCCGAAAAGTCGAGAAAATTAGATTAAAAAAATTAAACCTGTTCTGAGTAACGGAACAGATTTTATTTTTACTTTTTTTTTTTAATTTAATTTTCTCGACGTTTTTCAAAAATTTAACTTTTTCGAAAAAAGTTTTTTCGGCGTAATTTTGCAGAACTTTTTTTTCCTTTTCAGGAACTCTAGAACTATTAAAAAGCTACTCAGAACAGGTTTAATTTTTTTTTCAAAATTTTAACATTTTCGACTTATTCGAAAAACGTGTATTTTCGGCATAATTTTGCAGAACTTCTTTTCGCCTTTTCAGGAACTCTAGAACTATTGAAAAGCTGCTCAGAACAATTTTTTATGTGCCTTTTTTTGCCACTGTCGTATGCTGCGTGAATCTGGCATACACAATAGACTGGGTCGAAAAAAAAGTTGCTAATGTCCGCCCCTAAATTTAAAGATTATGTTGAGAGGGTTCTGGAAAATTTTTTTTTTTTTTTTTAACCCTCCGAAATACAGCCGAAATGGTTTTTTCGTTGTAACTTGGTTATTTGACGGCCGATTTTTAAAATTGATATGTCATTACTTTTGTCTTGAGAAGCTTCACTTTTCGTTCTTATGTCTTTTTAAGCTTTGAAGTCGCGTTCGCATGATAAGGGCAGAAACAAAATTTTACCCCCCCTAAAGTATATTTTTTTCCTTACCAAACGAAAGTACTTAAAAATTCAAGAAAATGTTGCCTTCAAACTATATTACTAAAATAATAAACAAAGGAGTTATAGCACTTTTAATATCACAGGTCAACATGAGTTTCAGATGTAAGTATAATAACACAGTACAACAAAAATTGATTTTTTTTATGCAACAGAGTAACCTAAATTTAAGGATTATGTTGAGAGGATTTCGAAATTTTTATTTTATTTTTTTTTTAACCCTTCGAAATACAGCCGAAAAGGTTTTTTCGTTGAAAGTTGGGTATTTGACGGCCGATTTTTAAAATTAACATGTCATCACATTTCCTTTTAAGCTATGAAGTCGTTTACCCATGGTTAGGTCAGCTAACAAAATTCGCCCCCACAAATTCCTCCAACAGTTTTCTTAGTTGGAAATTTAATCTCACTGCTTTCGTACCAATTTAGGTACATTTTTGCTACGATTTTTCCCAAATTCATACTCTTTGTTTTCGTCGCATCAGCAACCCGGGGAGTGCAAAACTGACGCTGTCAATAGCGAGCTAACCTCTTGTAATTTAATCATGCCAATAAATTTTATAAATTGTGGAAGTCAAAGTAAATAAGTGAGTCAAACCTGTTGTTTCGTATTGATAATAATAATTTATAATTAATACCATAAATTGTGCTGGTGAAATAAAATTAAAAAGTGACTTAACAGTGTGTGCAATTTAAAAATGGCTTTCGTTAAGCGCGATATTGATATTAAAATGTTACCTACGAAACGTGGTGTTATTGAATATTTTTTGTTCCTTAAATATTACGGCTCTGCAAGTGTTCCAAAAAATCGAAGTCTCAATGAATATTTGCCAATAGTTATGAACACAATTTCAAAGTTGTGGCAGCAGGCAAACATCCCTATAGTTACAAGAACTACGCTCCGGAGAAACATTGAAAGCCTCCTTCAAAGTTATTACAATGTAAAAAAACATCCTTATGAATATAATGATCAGGAATGGAATAAAATATTGTTAATTTCAAAGTGTAAGTGCATTATGGACTTAAATCGACAATGTGATTGCCCTAGTGCAAGTAGAGTTCCAACCGCGGTAAATGACTTTCTTTATGATCAATGCGGGCCAAGGCTTTTGTCATTAGATAGTGGGCTTGATCATACTAGAACTGACAATTGCTCGCTAGAATGTAATGTTGAAAATCACACTGAAACCGCTGCAAGTTCGATTGGTTATGTGCCTAGCTCAAGTGAAGACGATGAAGCAAGTGAAGAAGTCACACAAAGTTTAAAAGTATCTGATTTGTCCTTAAAAAATTATTGCTCGGCGTTAGATAGGACGGATACTTCAGATCGCTTTGGATCATTGCTTGCTACAATGCTAATAAAAGATTTGCAAGCTGCGATTGCTACAAAAGTAAAAAAGGATTTTAAAGAAAACACAGCGGATAAAATTATGAAATATTTTGATTATCTGGTCATTGACAAAAATAAAATTTCACGCGAGCGTAACAAATGTAGAGCACAAACTGAAGCAGCAACAAAAACTGGCACTGATCTTAAATGCATTTCGTATGATGGTAAACAGGACGTAACACTAAAAAAAAAAATAGTTCACGGTAGCGTAAGAACAATGCTTCTAAGAGAGGAGCATATTACAATTTTGAAAGAGCCTGATTCGAAATTTATTGGATACGTATCTCCAAAAGAAGGCACTGGGGAAGCAATCCAGCAAGCAATAGTAAGCTTTTTGAATACCCAAAAATATTGCTTAAACGAACTTGTAGCTATAAGCTGTGATGGTACAGCTGTCAATACTGGATATAAAATTGGAGTAAATGCACAAATGGAACGTTATTTACAAAGGCCCTTGCAGTGGAATGTGTGTTTGTTACATTTCAACGAGTTGCCTCTAAAAAAGTTGTTAACGCATTATATTGGCAAGCAGAAAAGACCTGGTGTTTGGCCAGGGGTGTTGGGGTCTGAAATTATGACTTGCACCAAATACCCGGTAGGTTGTCCACACTATAATAGTTAATGTTATAAACAAAAACATATATTTTCCTTATCAGGTTGTAAGTGGTTTTGAGGCTATTGCTATGGGAGTTATTCCTGAAAATATTGGCTCTTGGGAATTACGCAATGATCAGCGTTATTTATTTGATATGGTTTTGGCAGTAAATAATGGTGAATGCGATGAATATCTCGCTAGTAAGAGCCCCGGTCCCGTCAGTACAGCTCGGTGGCTTACAACAGCTTCCAGGTTACTTCGGGTATATGTTTCCAAAGAAAGCCCGTCAGCGGAGTTGCGAAACATGGTAGAGTTTGTTGTGAAAGTTTATGCACCATTCTGGTTTCTTGTAAAGAGCCAGCCACAAGCAATTCATGGAAGTAGACACGTTTTTAAGTATATTTGCTGGATACGCGAACTATCAAATGCTGTTCAAGCCATTATACGTTCAGCTATAGAAAATAATGCATATTATTTTCACCCAGAAAATATATTATTAGCCATGATAACCGACGCTGATCCAGAGATACGTAATGATGGGTACGAAAATATCAAAACAGCACGTCAATATCCACCAGCAGGGCTTCGCGTGTTCAAGGTCCCAAAGCGTGGCGTAATAAACTTTGAAAGTAAGTCGTATGTCAGCATGATCGATTGGAGTCAGTTTAAGATTACGGAACCCCCTTGTGTGCAGTTCTACCCAGATAGAGAACTTACAATGTTTCAATTTTCGGAAAATGAAGTGATAAATATCCCAGGTAAATATCTTCAAACTAAAAACTTCACGGGTCTTATAGTACTTTTAAATCATTTTTTTTAGAGTTCCTCTGTCATTCCCAGAATACCGAACGGTTTGTGCGTGTTGTTAGTGAGTCTGCAAGTGCTGTCACTGATGAAAAGCGCCTGGGCCACATTTTTGCAAAATTAGAAAGCCGAGACCAATATAAAAGCCTTGATTCGCGCCAAAATTTGCTTAAGTAGCAATAAATATTGTAAGTGAAATAACTTTTTTGTTGATTATTTTAGTAATATAGTTTGAAGGCAACATTTTCTTGAATTTTTAAGTACTTTCGTTTGGTAGGGAAAAAAATATGCTTTAGGGGGGGTAAAATTTTGTTTCTGCCCTTATCATGCGAACGCGACTTCAAAGCTTAAAAAGACATAAGAACGAAAAGTGAAGCTTCTCAAGACAAAAATAATGACATATCAATTTTAAAAATCGGCCGTCAAATAACCAAGTTACAACGAAAAAACCATTTCGGCTGTATTTCGGAGGGTTAAAAAAAAAAAAAAATTTTTCCAGAACCCTCTCAACATAATCTTTAAATTTAGGGGCGGACATTAGCAACTTTTTTTTTTTGTATGGGGACCGACCCAGTCTAATACACAATTTCAAATCATTTTTTTTTGTCAAAATATCCAAAACTTTTTTTTCCTTTTCAAGAACTCGAACTATTGGAAGGCTACTCAGAACAACTTTTCTTTTTTCGTTTTGCGTCATATCGTATGCCAACTTCCCAGACATATGTATATATCAGAACGTCGAGCTGAGTCGATTTAGGCATGTCAGTCTCTTTTTATGCAACCTACACTGAGAAAAAGGATTGGTTTCGACAACTTAAGATATTTAGTTCCCGAATTTTGACAATATTTGGGAACTGTTACCAAGGATTGGGAACTATTACCATGGGTTGTTAATTATAACTAAATATATTAAAGCTTCTAATATTCATCTAGGTTGTAACAAATCGTTAATTTAGTTGAAGGGTTTGGTTAATACTAATAAATATTTCTTTGAAGCATATTTCTACAAATTCCATTCAACTTAACGTATGGTTCATAAAAGGATGTTATTAAGCTCTGCTAATGCAGATAAGCTTTCTTTCAACACATGGTTTAGTCATAGTTACCAAATCTTAGTTGAGACAACCACGATTTGGTTTGAGAGTGGAACATATTCATGCTTGTGAGCCACCCCTAAAGAATGCTGAGCGCTCTCTGAGCACATCTGTGTTTCATATACGAAGAGCGCCAGCTGAACAATGCACACAGTCCCACTTATTGAATCGTTTGAATGTGGTAGTATGCCGACCATTGTATTCTCTCAATCGTGCTGACCATTGCATTGTGCGTGGTAATCATTGCTCCGCTACCGCTGTTCGTATATGGGTGAAACCCGCATGTGGTCCCAGAGCGCTCAGTAAGCTATGGCATGTCGATCGCTGCGCTAGGTAGAAAAAGAAAAGTGTGTGCTATGACATGCACAGAATTGTTTGTCTCAGTTGCAGTTTTTCTATCACCGCGAGTGGTTTCGGTGCGCGCATAGTTATTTAAAAATATAAAGTTTGATGCCAACCGGGGTTTCTTAGTGGATATATAATTTATGTGAATTATAATTTGAAAGTGTCTATTTAGCCAAGGAAAAAGCAAAGCAGTATACTTCCAGCAGATATTGACCTGGGTTTTCGCACAACTGTTCCTGTTTCATCGTCGTTTTTTAGGAAATTCATACCACCATATACATATGTATTATTTACTTTAGTAACTAACTTATGTAAATATGTATGTATTTTTTATGCTTAATATATGCAAATAAAAGAAGAAAGTAAACACAACAAACATCGAGTAAATTTTTATTTGTGTCAAACTGAAACTTTTTTTCCAGTAATAAACGGTTAGCTGATTCAAGTCTACAGCAAGTTCACAAAATTAATTGATTGAACTTGTATCAACCAAAGCATTGTTTATATTTGCTCAACAATGATTTGATTCAACTAACAATATTGTCCAATCAAGGTAGTCGTTTTGCAATTATTAACAAATATACATTTGTCCCAACTAGAAGTCTTAAGTAAATTGCAGACTTTCGTGAACTATATATTTATTTCGCCATATCCAACTATGCCACTTGATCACTATAACCAAATCTTGGTTATTATAACTAAACCTTTTTCTGGGTGTAGTCCGCATGAAATTTGGCAAGTGGGTGTATTTTTATAATATATTAATCATTTGTCGGAACCGGAAGAATCGGACCACTACAACACGTAGCTCCCATACAACTGGATGGGTCATTTATGTATAGATTTGTCTATATCTATTTCGATTTTTATAATGTACTTGTGCACAAGTGCGCTCGGGTATAAAAAAACAAGATTTGAACTCGCGACCAACCAGTTGGTAGTCGAACGCGCATCAATTCGGCTGGCTACAGCGGCTGTTGAGATACCGTGAAGCAAAGGCAACTTAAATTTGTTCTAAAGTTTTTTTTTGATTGTGACTTCAAAACTACACATTACCCGTTCGCTTATATTGCGACGCATCTTTTCGTTCAATCGTAGTCGTTAGGCACGGTGCACATTAGAGCGATACGATATGCGATGCGATATGCGATACGATACGCGATACGATATGAATGCGACATCGGAATGCTGAGTACGTGGGAATTGGTAGGAAGCGATGAAAACTGCGCACACTTGCACAACAGCGACACCACTGCGATATAATATCACATGCGTATCACACGTGCGACACCGCTGCGATATAATATTGCATGCGTATCGCATGTGCGACACGGTTTTCTGAACGAGGTGAGATTAGCATTGCGCGGTATTTTTTGCAATAAGCATGACCATTTCACAGGCGGAAGCATCTTCCTCAATTTTTTTAGTCGAATTCATAAAAAAAAACCCATGTTTATGAAACTATACAGGCAAAAAAACGACTGTACAACAGACATGACTAGTTTGGCATGGAGAAATATAGCGCTTGAGGTCAAGGACACAGGTAAATGCACAAAATAATATTTTTTGTGATGGTTTATTTGCCTTTGTTGTCACATCTTTAAAAAGAAATTTAAAGAATGCAATAATTTTAAACCTATTCAGTTTTGATTTCGAATAGCACTAACTATTTTGTTTCAAATATTCAAATAATTAGTAATCAGTGTAATTAGAAACAATTAAGAAATAATCATCTCATTTATCAATAAAAGAAGAAATCAGATATAATAACAAATACTAAAAAATGATGTATGTATGTACATATGTAGGTAATTATTTTGATTATTCGTTATATTTTTATGTTTTTTTTTTCTTGAGTGTTATTTTATTCGATTTAAGGAGTTTTTAAATTAAAGAGAGAAAGTACAAATTGGTGTGCTCTATTACACAATGCTAAAAAAAAATAATGAAGTAAAAATACCTGGTAAGTCATGTTAGTGAAGTAAGAATCGAGATACGAAATTTTTGTCAAACACCCACACAATCTTGATTTACTCTTAAAAAATCGGGTTTGCGCACTTATAAGCTTGTAACTCAGTTGACTATAAACCGAGTTTAGACCTTTCGAATGATATATGTATATAAACTTTTAGAAAACTTAAGAGATCTGTGTGTATTTTCTGTGTTAATTTTTTCAAAGTTTTCACACACTATTATGTAAAGCAACTATACTACTCCTGAATTGATGCATTATTAACATTTGATATATAGTTATTTTTACTTTAAAAAATCGGGGGAAATCTGACTAAGCTCTTCAACCTTTCATGAGAAAAATAATATTTTTGCTATATAACTCAAAAATTTTTGCTTAACCTTTTTTTTTAATTCAGCTTTCACCGATTTCTGCTTGTAGTGAACGCAATATTCTGAAATAATCGTATCGTATCGCGTATCGTATCACTCTAATGTGCACCGTGCCTTAGTGTTTTCGTGCTTTTTACCAACTGGATTACACCATTTTTTCTTTTTGTGTTCTCTTTTGCACTTTTTTCAGATTCCCAACATTCCAGTTGCCTGTTTGTACGAAAGCCTCTTATTTATCGCCGTTATAGCTAGTTTGAGCTGAAAACCAGTATTTTTCATTGTGGCATTTAGTATAGCTTGAATTTCACTCGCTTTCATCATTTAATTTGGTTACTCTAACGGCGTTATTTTTATTGTTATTATTTGCGTTTTTAACTCGGCTTTTCGGTCACAATCATAGATACTTATGAACTCTGAACATACATACATATGTATATATTTAAGCCGCTCCGCATTGTTATTTGATTGATATTTTCCAGAGCTGCAAAAGTGCTTACGAATAATTCTCTATAAATAATATGGAGTTTTTCCTTCCAGTTACCTTTCATAAATGCAAATGTGCTTGCTTATGTACATATGCCTGTAAACATGTACATATGTATGTATGCATTTAAAACCAGCATTTATACTCCATTCCTCCACTTTTACCGTGTAGATTTTGTGTGCGTTCAAAGTTTGTCTTGTCTCTTTATTTTTAACCGACTTCCAAAAAAGGAGGAGGTTATCAGTTCGTCGGAATATTTTATTTTTTTTATTTTATTTTTTTTTATGTATGTTACCGCATAACTTTGCACCACGTTAACCGATTTCAATAACGGAAAGGTAGTGTCTCAGAGGTGGTCCCATACTAATTTGGTTTAGATCCGATCATTGGATCATGAAATATATATTTTTTTTAAGTCGTTTTTTTTTTGCTAAAAATTACTTGTTATTCGAGGAATATAGATATTATCGATGTTTTTGTAAAAGAGCACATCGACCGCGCAATACCGCCTAAATCGTCGTTGTGGCAAAAATGAGATTTGGTAACCCTGAATTACAGGCATCGAAATGCATAAAAATCGTAAAACTCTTATTAAAACAACAGCTTTGTTAAATATTAGCTTTATAAATAATATATTCAATATTATTTAATCAAGGCAATCCATTCAAAGAAAACCTGTTTTTTCGCTCTCTTCTGTAAAATATGAGTGCCGTAATATAGGTGGTTTTGCAATTGGGCGTTGGGCGGTTTTGCAAAAACATGGACGATATGTATGTATGTACATTAGACCGTACCACCTTAAAAGCAGACAACAAAAAGTTCGCCGAATACCACTGAGTCTACTGTATTTTTACAAGGCAATTTCGAAAAAAAACAAAAATTTGTTTGCCGAACCTAAGGGTTGCTTTTTAGATTTTTCGGTAACACCTGCATTCGACAACACATTTTTACATAGTTCTACTGGAATAATCAAAATACTTCCTAAGCAAAAGTTTAATGATTTTTGGAGAGCTATATTTTACTGAAATTAGGATGATAAGAACTGATATCTGATTGGTACGTACTAGAACTTTGGAACAAAATATTGCCTCGCGGAGGCAAAGAATCGGATGTATCCAGCAGAAAGTCTACCGCGAAAAAAAAATTCATATGTATATCACATTTTCTTTTCGTTTCTGTAAAATTATAATCTTGTCGCTTACAATGTTATTCGCGGCGACCATTCTATTGCTTGGCCAAATGGCGCCTTGGAACGTTGTCAAAGTAACCAGCCGTGTGGTTAAAAAGTCTAGATCTGTACCGTTAAGAATTTCCCGGAGAATTCTAGACTCTTTTCAGATTTATTTTTAAATTAATGCGTATTAATTTTGGCATTTCAAAGCAATGATATCAATGATACACACATACATATCGTTACCTTAATTCACAAAGGCCCTAACCAACACTTTCTTCGAAGTTGCGTATATAACACATTTTGGTAGGATATATTAAAATACACCTTCAATAGAAATTTTAAAGTGTTAGTACCAAAAACAACGAAGTTACCCACTGGGAAAATAGGTAAGCACCTTACGAGGTAAGCCATGTTTTCTTTCAGTTTTTAGTACCAAAATTGTTATCATGAGTAATGTCATCTACTAGTAAAGCACAAAATGAACCCCTTCGACGACGCATTACGTTGTCAGTTGCAAAATAACGTGCCGCCGAAGTTATATCCAAGCGCCGAACTACTCCGAGCGACTGCTCTACATTCTACGTAGCTTACTTTGTAAAGCGGCTCAGAAGTATGTCTGATACCAAATGTACATTCAAAATTCCTACTTACATAAGGCTGCCACGTCTTTGTTAAAGTAAGGGAGATTCGTCAGTGAAATGGTAAGGACCGCCGGGTAAGGTGTAAGTTGCTGGTAAGGTATTGTATTGATGAATCAAACAGCGTGCGTTCATATTAGTAGCTATAAGTTGCATCCATACGTTCGCAAACGTTCACTGCTCTCGCTCAAGTCCATAAGTGAATGTAAGTACTGTAAGTAAGTAATTGCATCAGATTAGCACCGTTCATCCCATTTTCAAAACTAAGGAGTCAAATGAAAGTGTTTGGCCAACAGATGTGCAAGTAGGATTTATTGTTTAAATAGGGCTGCCATTGCGAAACTCAATGAACTCCTCCAAAAGGCCTTCTGAAGTACATCCTATAAAAGCCCTTCTGGAAGGCCTGGGTAACGAAAGAAGAAGCCCTTCAATTGATGACAGTCCATATAAAAAAGGAAGGAGAAGGGAATGTACAGTGGAAGGCCTCTTGACTCTCAGGAAGGCCTTCCGGAAGGGCTTTTAACTCCTGAAATCATCTACTGGGTTATAAAATTATGTATATTTAATACAGCCATGGACGACGAACATTTTGGCGAGCACGTTCACAACTCGCATTCGTCTTTTTAATTGTTTTCTGTAGTCTCGCAAATCCCGCGGATCCCGCATGTGTATTTCCTCATTTCTGATCCCGAAAAAATAGCACGGGATCCCGCGTTTGCGGGGTTGGATTCCCTATCTGTTACTGTAATGACAGAAAAGGGACCTTGAATGGAATTATTAAGGAACTTTACCACTTCCAAGTCTACTAAATACATGCATACTACGTTTTTCGTTTAAAATCTAATAAATTGTAATTTTAAATTAGTAAGTAACCTGGGTAAAATAATGTTGTACATATATCACTTTTCATGATCTTCGCGATGATGATGATTTTCATGATGAACGCGATTAACGTTTGGAGATATATTATTCGAAAACGCAGCGGTAGATTTTCCTTAAAATTTCAAGGATTATTGATAATATCATTAAGAAATGAAATCAATAACTTCTTCATATAATTTATTGATAATGTGGGAGTTAATGTGAGTTTTCCTCAGAGTGATTTTATCGTACATCACATCTTCAAAATGCATGCACAAAGACCATACATATACGACAAAATATTTACTATTGAATATTATAATAGTCAGAAACACAAGTAATAGTTTATTTTAATACTTTTGTAAAGGAATTAACTTTTTTATTTTCCACTTGCATACATGCCCGTAATGGTGCATTTACATGTTATGAAGCCATATGAACAGTTGATATGCTACAAGTAATTTTTAGCAAAAAAAACCGACTTCAACTCCCATGTAAAAAAAAATATATATATATATATCTCATTATCCACTGATCGGATCTCAACCAGATTAGTATGGGACCACCTCTGAGACACTACCTTTCCGATGCAAAAAGAATTATCGAAATCGGTTGACGTGGTCCAAAGTTATGCGGTAACATACATACAAAAAAAAAAAAATAAAAAATATTCCGACGAACTGATAACCTCCTCCTTTTTTGGAAGTCGGTTAAAAATAGAGGGAATACGTGTTCTAATGAGGAATTCAATGGTTTCGTATGGGATGCATATAATAAATTTTTTCATATGAAAAATGATGCGGAGATACTGTAAACATACTGTTATGATACTGTTAAGCATATCTTAATACATTAAACGAGCAATTCTTGTATATATACATATCCATAGGGTTCTCGAATACGGCTCTAACGATTTTGATTAAATTTTGTACACAGATATTGTTTTGGATTTTAAGGTTATCTTAATAGGCCCCATCTCCGAGAAGACCCGTATAAGGTTGCCACCTATTCGAAATAAGTTACAAATTAATTAAAACATAATAAAATGGGTATCAAAAGGAAAGTATTTTAAATATCCCTAATTCAAAAATATTTGTAATAGGGTTGAAACTTATTTTGATTCACATATTTATTTACACCCTTATTCTAGAACCCGAATTTTCGTAATTCGTAATTACGTTACGAAAAACGAAAAATCGTCATGCTACAACCCTTGCGGAAAAATGTGCAGCATTGCCAGGTATCAGTTGTTTTTCGAACTCAGCTGTATGAAGGAAAACAAAGTGGAAAGGAATTAAAAAAACAACTCATCATGTGCTTGTTTATAGTAAAATTGCTTGATTTTAAATATTTTGAGGAAAATTATAGATTCTGATGCATTTGCAGTTATAGCAGCGGAGAAAGAGCGCGCTATGGCAATGGACTCACAAAGGTATGCGGAGCTGCCGGGCATAGTAACCATGGCGCATCTATTAGCCAGAATTCCTCCTATGCCTGCAGTACTGGTTCCCAATCCAGTTAATACAATAACAGCTTCTTCCAAGCCATTGAAAACATGCATTTGCTTAGGTCCACCACCTCTTGCGCTTGCTTCTGCCTTCGGGCGCGCTTAGGGATTATAACTCTTACTAAGTATTTAGAATTCTCCTTTCTGTGTTGCCGGAGAAGAGGGGCTTCTGCATGCCAAAGGTATACAATATTTCTTGTGCATATCACAGTATTTTTCCGCAGAACCCACATCGAAATTTACAAAAAAAAGTGCGTAGTGTAAACCGAATTTATTAGTAATTTGAAACATATTTTAAATAAAGGATTAATCCTTTGATTACACATGTATGTTAAAGTTTTTATATTCGGGTTATGCGTTTGGACACAACAACCGAAAATCATTGTACAAATAACACTGTGGAACAAATTCAGGTTAGCAAAAGTTAGATCGATTCTGAGAGTGAGGGGTGAAAATAGAAGCTAAATTAGAAGACCCGTATCGCGGCGTTTGTTTATGTTAGTTCGAATTTTTTTTTAATCGACCTTCGAACTTTGCAGTCAAATGCCGATTTTTAGCATATTGTTTATATGGTTTTTTGGCTATAACTCGTCAACTAATTGATATTTTTTCAATCTGTTAAAGCCAAATTATTGCTAGAGACCTTTTTGTAGTGCTTATGAAGCAAAATGTTGGAAATTTTTTTTTCATGCTTTTTGAACATATTTTCCACAAAACTAAGTATTTTTGCTTTCTGTTTGATCTATAATATGCTTCTCAGTTTTTCAATAAATTTCATTTGAAAAGAAAACAATCATAATACAAAACTTGCGTTTTCCAGCTTAATATTAATTTACTTCTCATTTCTTATGTACCAATTTTTTCAGTGTTGGTTTTGAAGAAAGTTGAAAAAGAAATTATAAAAATATGGAAAAAAATATAATTTCGAAATGTTAGTTATGAAAAGTTTTAAGTAAAAAAATTAAATAAATTAAATTAATGATTTGGCCAGTTGCCTTTTAGCAGGCGGCTGTGGATGAACATCACTTCTCTCTAATATCTTGGTCATCGTCATCATCATCAGAAAGGTCGATA